CCATTCACGAGCGTCACCCAGCGGCATGGCCCCGCCCCTTTTTCTCCTCCATTTTGGGCAAATTTTTCACTGACTCGAGCCCAAAAAGTGGGCTGAAAAACTCGGCTTATACTTGAGTATATACGGTAAGTTAAAATACTCCCTATGGTGCAGCAGTAGAAGGTCACCAGGATTTTTCCATTCAGTTATTGTTCCCTGAGAAATCTCAGGTAGTAGAATCTCTGCTGGGTTTTATCTTGCCATTTAAGGCTGGTTGTTGTTGTTTTTCCCCCCCTCCACCCGCACAGACTGGAAAATTAATCTTGAAACCTCGTCTCCACGTCCAATAACCCACAGCCTTTGCGTAAAGGGATCGTGGGATTACACACGCCACTTTGTTTCTTCGCTACAACAAGGCCAAAGGGGACGGAGAAACGGGCTTCGTCTTCGACCTTCGCTGGAAGGTGGGCGAGAAACATCTTTTCTACCCGAACTCTTTGTGTTATCGATTTTTTTCTCCTAGGACAGTATTACGGTTTCCTCATCTCGAATGGCGAGGTGGCGCCCAGGCAGCTCCTCCAGAGACCCGTCTCCATTTACAACACGCGAGTCATTGTAAATAGAAAACGGCGACAGTGTTTGTACTGCCATTCGCCACGGCGTATTTTTTTTTAACCAGTGTGTGTGTGTGTGTGTGTTTGTGGATTGTGAGCTCTCTACCCTCTCCCACGTTTGCCGTCCCAATTTGTGGATAGGTCACATCCAGAGGTCATCTGTGGTTTGTTCGATGAATGAGTGGGTTGACATGCTGCCTAATGTTTCACTGCAGTTGGGTCCTTTTATCTGACGGCAGCAACCTCCGTCGACTGGAACTTACCAGCAGCTAACGTTTCAGAGTATCGTCCAAGTTGCGATTTTGAGTTAGCTGCTTCCCACAGCTCTGCAGGTGTAAAAGTTAGTTTCCTTTTTGGCTCGTTTGGACCCAGAACATGGGAGAGCAAGCCTCACGAGTCACATTTTGCATTTTCTTGCTAATAATTATAAAACGTTTGGCCCGCGCACGTTGGAAAAAGCAGAGGGAAAACGATGGCGCATCGCCCACAAACACTTGGTGCAGAGCTAATTTTTTTTAGTCCCTAGTTTTTCGCTTTGTGCAACCTTCGATCCTGCTCTGTTCTCCACAGCTGGCTGTTTTTCGCTCTTCCTCTCCCGAGTTGTCCTCCCCTCCCCCCCTCTGCATTAAAAAAACAACAACAATGTATTGGATTTGAAATTGCTGCCGGGAGAGATCCGCCGTGAAATTAATAGTATTGCTGGATGGGATGCAAATGTTCTTCATATTACTTGACGAAAAGAAGTGCCAGAAATGTTAACCAAACCATTTTGCTGTTCTTTTGGGTTTTGTTTTAGCCTCGGGGCATGCAGGATGCCCTCAACTGACCTAACAGATTTGAAGAATTTGGGGAAGTAGGTTTGCAGCCTTGTATTGGACACCTGCAACTTCCAAACTCAGCTTGATGGCTAGCTAGGTTTTTCTGTGTTTGCAGTAGCCATTTGCAGAACTAGCAATGACTGCAAATGTAACGCCACGCTAGAAGTGGGAACAGCATCATGGAAGCCATACAGGATGCTCTCAAACCATAGTTCTCTGTGTTGATGATAGTTTAATTTAGCAGAAGTACTGGGGACGTGAAGCTTTCACTCTGATATTGGAAGTGGTCACTTTGGTCGTATTTTTCACCAAAAATACCTGCTTAAGAAAAAGGTTTTGTACCCATGAAATCAGATTCTAGATTGCTTAGTGACTCTGTTGTTTCTCCATAAGGTAAATTTCTTTAAAAAACTCTTTTTTTAACAAACGATTTTAATTACCCTTGTTACATGGAAGTGTTAAAATAATAATAATAAAAAGTGGCTGTTACCCACAGTGTGACTTTTAAAATACCGATTCAGGAATATAATTTTAAAATCCTTGAGTCTTTTTTTTAAAAAACGTACAAGCTATTTTAATAAGTGCATTGCTCTTTTAAGGCGCAGCTGAGACCAAAAGGATCCTTACTGTGCAAGAATTTAGAGGGGAAGAAATCTTTTGGGTTTAGTAATAATGCACCTCAAAGTCTGATTTCCCCCCCCCCCTTCTTTTGCTCTTCAAATGTCTTCTCTGTTCCTTACATCACCGTGGTTTTTAAGCAGCTGTACATTTTTGTAGGAATTGCTTTTTAAATAAATATTTTATTGCTTGATCTTTAAAAAAAATGCGAGAGTGTGTTTGTTGGAAGTAAAACCTCTGAAATCACTAACTTCTGAAAATTCTATTGGGAGAAAAATTGCAAAATACCGTTGTTTTCTGCAATAAAAAATATTTGAAACCAACCAATGGTTGAGGGTCCATACCAGTCCTACAAATAGTCACGCTGCGTGAATTTATAGCAAGAAATCTTAAAAGTAGAGTATATTGATTTATACATTTTCCTATTTGTTGTAGAATGACTTATAGTCAGGAATAACATGGTAGCACCTTACCCAATCATGTGCATTTCATAAAATTGGTGGTCTTTGTCACCAAAGAATAATTTCTTCCCTTAAGATTTAATTATAGACATGATTATCTATTACGGCCCCATTCCATTTTTTTAAAAATAAACTCTCAGTTGATAAAAGCATTGTGTAGGTAATCCTTGATTTACAACCATTCATTTAGTGTAACCGTTCAAAGTTACGATGGCAATGAAAAAAGTGATGACCGTTTTTCACACTTACGACCATTGCAGCATCCTCGTGGCCACATCAGAATCCGGACACTTGGCAACTGACTCGTATTTATGACGGTTGCAGGGTCATGGGATCACCTTTTCCAACCTTGTGATAAGCAAAGTCAATGCAGAATCCAAATTCACTTAACAACCATGTTAACTCACTTAACAACTACAATGATTCACTTAACAACTATGGTGAGAATGGCCTTAAAAGTGGGCCGAAACTTACTAAGCAAGTGTCTCACTTAGCAACAGAAATTTAGGCTCGATGGTGGTCGTAAGTCAAATCTGACTACCTGTAGAAGTTGAAAACCTACCCATAAATTGCCCAAATACAGCTGTTATCAATGTAACTTTGAAAATAACCTAAATAGCTCATTTTTGCGTACTACTGTTTGTAAAACAAACTTACAGAATACAAGAGAACAGAGTGCATCCTCACCCATAACTTCCCCAGATTTTGATAAACCAGTTCTTTTCTACTGGCATGATAAATTCCAGTATTTTCAGTCCATCTTCCCAATTCTAGAATCAATTCTGTGCCATTCAGCAGCTGGGCTGCTCCCATTGCTTACTAGCTATATTATATATTATATTATATAATATTATTTATACAGCTAGCAGCTGTACAGCAAGCCATACAGTAAGGGTATAGCTAGCTGATGAGAGCTAAATAGCTTGAAATAGATCTATACTAGTCTCCCTTTATTTATTTATCAGCACAAATACAACACAAATGTAACAAGGGGCAACAGTAAAATATTGGGCTTTCTGTCTGGATGGTTTCTTGTGACGAGCCAATGGACAGAGAATGGAAGCAGTTAGCTTCCTCCCATAATT